GCTCAGTGGATAGAGTGCTGGGTCTGGAGACAGGAAGACCTGAGTTCTAATCTAGCCTCAGACACTTACTAGCTGTGTGACCATGGGCAAGTCACTTTACCTCTGTTTACTTTAATCTACTGGAGAAGGAAATGGCAAACCACTCCAGCATTTTTGCCAAGAAAACCCCATGGACAGCATTGGTATCCATGGGGCCACAAAGAGTTGGACACAACTGAACAAGAAATAAACGTATTTATCCATATAAATACATATGTATGCATATTTAAATATAACTATACAAATATATGTGTGTATACACATACACATATATGTATTTTGGACTGAACCTGTTTTCACTGATACAGTAAATTTCCAATGAGGATAATTCCTTAGACCAATGTTAATGGATATCTGTTCTGCACTTAGTCTTGGAGCACTGAGTCTTATTGTCTATGGAACTGAGAAGCTAAGTAAATGACTTGACCAGAATCATAGTTAGCTGGTGTCTAAGAGGGGAATTGAACCCAGGTTCAATGAATCTGAGTTCAGCATTCTATCCACTGAACCATTCTGAGGAAAGGAGACTGAGGGGGAAGGGTTATGTAAACCATTATTAACATTCACATAAATCTCCAGGAGGTGAATAAATAAGCAACTTTCTCTAATTATTAACATACCAGGCTAGGTTCCAGATTTTCTATTAGGTCTGACTACCATCAGGGAGTTATGAGAGATACAAGTCTAGAAGCTTATGTAGAGACACAGGGATTCACATTGTTTGGGCATACTTTCCTAAAAAACGAAAATCTACCTTATCTCTGGGGCAGGTAGGTGGCGCAGTTGATGGAGTGCTGGGCCTGGAGTCAGGAAGATTGTTCTTCATGAGTTCAAATCCAGTCTCAACTGTGTGACCCTGGGCAAGTCACTTAACCCTGTTTGCCTCAGTGTCCTCATCTATAAAATGAACTAGAGAAGGAAATGACAAAGCACTTCGGCATCTCTGCCAAGAAAATACCAAATGGGGTCATGAAGGGTCTGACACGACTAAAATGATTCAACACAACAACCCTAAGCCTAGGCCCCTCCAATACAGCCTCAAAAAGGCAGCAAAGGTGAATTCAGCACCAGCTTTAGCAGTCGCAGTCTGAAATGGAGGAATGTCTTCCCCTCCCTCAGAGGAGAGCTAAAAGTAGCTACAGAACTTCCTTCTCGGAGGTGAAATGCAAACAGGCTTAGCAGGTAGAACAACGGAGCAAAGAAATACAGCACCCAGCCAAGGGGGATTTGTGACTGAGACACCCATCTTTGTTTTTCCGACCAAATAATGAAAACTGTGTAATCTATCTAAGCATGGTAACTATTTTCTCAGATGATCTCCTAATACCACTGCCTGAGAAGCAGAATGCCTAGTTCCTCAGGGATTTTCCTCTGTGAGTGTCGTGTCATGGGCGAGGATGGGAAGAGACAAAGAATTTGTTCCACAGAAGCTCTTACTCGACTCATCCCAGGGGACAGGGAAGCCATCTTTTTAGTAAGAAAATTACAATTTCCTAGTTCAGCTTGTGAATTTTTTACCTGTTAAGTTTTCTAGTACCGAAGTTCAAGGGCTAGCCACTCAGCAGGTGAAATGTGGGAAGAGCTGACCAGAAGAGATAGTAAGATAGACAGACAAATCTAGGATTATCTTGCAAAGATGAAAGATATTTTCCACTGTTGAGCTGAAGTCCATCTTAATGTCAAACTGCTCTTTGGACTTTCACACTCTTTAAGCTCACAAGGACTTAAAGTTTCCCAGTCCCCTCATTTTGCCTCCCTCTTAAGACTGACTGTCCAGTGAGTTGGTAAGTATAGTATAATAATCTGGTTTCTAAAAACAACAACAAAAACAAACCTGCAACTTATCAAAAAATTGAAATAAGTTGAAAATGGCTATAGATGGTTGAAATTGTCAATCATTTAAATTTCTCTTAAACTTTTTGGTGTCTCTGATTTTTAAAGTAAAGTAAAATCCCTTCATAGTCAATAAATGCAAAACCGGTTTGAAGTGAAAATCCACTGGAGAGGCTAAAATTAGTACAGAGACAATAAAGTAGAAGTACATGAATACAAATTAAAAAGCCCAAATTCACAAATCCAATCCATTATAATATCATTGAGATTCACAAGAATTATTGATGGAGAGGAAAGACTGCTAGTTTGCTCTGTCTAAAATTTATATATATTTCAGTTGCATGAAACCTAATAAATTAAAACATTTTGAAATTTCCATGCAAAATATATTGGCAAGACAAAGAACATTTTTCCAGGGTTGATTAGGTGCTTAAGAGCAAAAACAAATTTTCAAAAACAGTGACATCAGAAAGATTCCTTAGTATCATATCACCTGCCAAATTATGAGGTTTAAAAAGCCTAATTTAGCAGGAGAAACATTGGTGCTACCTGCATCTGTTGAAATGGCTGAAACAATACTTGATGAATCAAATGCAAAGCAGTTTTGAATAGTTCCAAATGCAGATAATACAGTGAGAAAATTGCCTATTTGTCCAAAAACCTTTTTGATCAAATCAAAACTAACATATTCCAATTTACATCGCAAGTGGGTGAAGCAACAGATGCAGTTAAATATGCTCATTTGATGATACATGTTTGTGTGTATGTTGTTCCTTTGTAAATTTGTTGATGGTAATGCCAAGATTAAAAATAAATTTTCAATTTTCAAGATAAATTTTCAATTGATGGATTTTTAAAAATGAAAATCAAGTTGTGGGAGAACCACATGGTACTCTGCACTAATAAAACACAATTGACATTACAACAAAATGGAGGCCAACAAGTACTAGTTTAAAATGTAGTAGTCCCTTGTGGAATTTGGATACCTTGTCTGCACTACATATAATCACTTAGACTGAGAAATGGGTGAGGAGGTACAAATTTTTTCAAATTACTGCAACAGCAATCAACTTTACATAAAACAAGTCCATTAAAAGGAAGGCTCCTTGTACAACTGTGTGACAATATGGTGGTAGGGGATCAGAGCACTTCTACTATTGCAAAATATGCTTTTCTTGTGCCACCATCCTTCAAATTGTATTTGAGCCAAAAATAAATGCCATTTTTCTTGTTGTTTGTCCTTTGTTCTTAAAGAGGCCCAATGACATCACAGAGAGTGATTTCTTGAATTTCGAATGAATTGGATTTAAGTGAGACAGAGCTGTGCAAAAGTAGTCAGCCTCATAGAGTCACTGAAGTCCAGTGGCAAAACAAAGGCCAAGACTACTGGTGATGACCCAAGATGCCACCATTTTTCTTAGCAATAACAGTAAAAATAAAATAAAATTATTTTATAAATATTTCCTCCTGAAGTTTGTGTACTTTGCTGGATGCTTTTTAAAAAACTGAGTACTCTAAATAAGTCAATACAAGGGCCTCAGATTCATACTCTGACACAGAACAACAAAATGACCACAATTATTAAAGTTAGAGGCAAAAATTGTTGCCCAATTTTAAAAATACCTGACATAAAAATGAAACAGAATAATCGGCTTATTAATCACTTGACAAATCTATAAAAGAAATCCTCATTTTATCTTAAAGGCCTACATATTCCTAAATAAAAATGGATAAGAAACCTATTTGCCATGAACACATATGAGACATTTGTCATAATTCATCTGAACAAGAGTGATAATACAAACAAGTGTATGAACTTGAAAATTCTATGTTTCCTCTACTGGTAATTAAAGAGTTCTCTGTATGTATAACATATACATAAATTAGTACAAAGTATATACAAAACAATCCACATTTTACTACCATTTACATCTTATTTGTGTGAAATAGAAATTTTCCACTAGGGCTGTTAGAAAGAAAAAATTATCAACCTTAGAAAGTGGTTGAATAAGAACTATAAGTAGCAATATCACTGACACCACATCAAGAAACTTTTCATGAAAAAAGTTTGCACATAGTTAAGTGCTTAATATTTTTTAAAAGCCTGAACATTAAAGTCATTTGTTGTTTGTTATGAACATGAAAAGTATAAATTATTTACCCGTGTTGTTTTTAATGCTTGGGTTTAGTACATGCTGTTATAAAATTAAAATATTATTTGCATATGAGCTGAAAAAATTTTCTTTTATGAAGTATATAGGAGGTACTAAACAGTATGAAAAAAGTGAAATACCGGTTTGTAAACCACTGACTTAGCAGCTAACCTAAACCTTGTGTTTACATATTTATACCCATAACTCTTCTAAAATCTAATTTCTCACACACAACACATACACATTTTGGTCTGGGCATGTGACTTCATGAGTATGGGGAACTCCCTGTGTGGAAAACTCCCTCCAGAGATGCACATTAATAACTTATCTGCATCTTATAATCTGAAGAGTTGCCTGGCTCACTGGGCTGTTAATAAGCAAGTTATCCCCAGTTACGATGCTAGTTTGTTTCACAGGCAGGAGTCCAAGGCTGATCCTCTAACCACCACATCCCATTGTCTTTTATCCTATTAGGTTCACACTCTTTAAAAGGTTTCAAATATTCTTTTTTCACATATCTGTCTGATCTACCCATGGAGGGCACAGGCTTCTTGAAGACAGGAACCACCTTTTCTATTTCTCTGGCATCCCTTTGAAACACAATGCAGGAGAGAGCAAAGAGAGGGTATATGACCAACTGAAGGTGTGTATGTGTGGTATTTGTATAAAAAAGTCATAAAATCAAGTAACATAGAAGACTTGGAATGCACCTCAGAGGCCACCTACTAGGTCCAAATCCTCGAAGATAGATACTCTAGCCTCTGTCTGAAGACCTTTGATGACGTCCTGAGACCGTCCATTACATGTTCTAATTTTTGGCAAATTCTCCTTGTATCATGCCAAAATTGGTCTTCCTATAACGTAATGTAATGGTTTAAATTCTCTTAAAATACAAAAGTACTTCTTCTGTCATGCTACAATATGGTTCCAAGCCTTTTCACTCACAAGTAGACCAAAAAAAGCAAACACTAAGGCTGTTTTTTAAAAAGTTCTGTATTTTGTCAAGTACAATTAATAATTTCATATATGTGAGTAAGTGAAAAGCATTGTCTTTCTTTTCCTGATTATCACAGACAAGGACTTGCTGTTGACTTAACTAGTTGTTTCAAAATTGAAACATGCCCCCTTCCCATTTCCTGAAAGCAAATCCTACTAGGTGCAGCAATTTAATGATTTGGCCTGGTTGTTCTGCCTTTCAACTTCCAAAAGTAATAGGCTAAAAAGGCCTGAAAGTTAAAGATAAAGAAAGGATTAGTTAACCTAGCTAATTTGTGGATTGTCAATTTAAACACTTGACAGTAATCTTTTGGAGGAAAGGTGGGACAGTGCCTTATCTGGCTTTGTAGCCCTCACAGCACCTGGCACAGTGTCTTGCACATAGTAGGAGCTTAAAAAGCATGTGCCAATTGACCACAGAAATTGAAAAAAAAAATAGAAGTGATAATCTTAAAATCAAAAGCCAGCTATTTCCTTTTCCTATTACATGGCACAGAATTCCCCTCTGCCTTACAGATCTTTTGGGGGGGCGGTTGAAGGGGATGAACACGGAACAGCATTTTTCACTATTGTAGTTACTAATTTCTGGGATGACATAAATGACTTCATAATTAATATAATGCTTCATGTCTCTAACAAAATTTGTGTCTTAAGACATTTAAAATAAGGTGCAATGCGGCTCTATTGTACTGTTCTATCTACCCTCTGATCCCAAAACCATAAAGGACCCTGAAAGTCATTTTTCTTTGAATGTTAATTTTGGGTCATGCTTTCTTACTTGTCTTGAATATTGTAGCACATGGTTTATCTAGCAGCAATATCCAGATTAAAAAAATCTTTTCTTCAAACCCATAAGGGGAAAACAAATTTGCCCACCCTATCCTCTCTTGTATCTGAGGAAGGGTGGAACAAGGAATTTTATTTCTTTTTAAGGTGCTATATAAATATAAGGTCATCTTCTTAAAAGGTCAAAGCAGAGAAAGGTGGACACGATGTCAAAACTTTTTTTCCTATAAATACGAATTACTTTGAGCACTTCTGAATCCCATCTCTATACATTCCAAGCTCTCTTATCAAAATGATACTGACAAGACAAGAGAACTCAACATCACTGATGGCATTTCAATATGCGTGAGGCAGTTCTCATGAGGAAATTCAAGGATCAACTGAACTCGTAGGAACTTAAAACTTTAAAGATATGGCCCCTTTAATGAGAGCTGCAACTGGGTAAAATCTAAATGTTAGTTATTTTATTTAAGCACCAAGTCTAGTGGCTCTGGATGTCCAGAAGGCACACATACAACTTTACCTGATCTCAACAGTGGGAAGAGGAGCCTAAAAGATCATTTCTCCAGGTCCTGCTCCTCCCCATGGCAGTGCATTACTGTCTTTTTAGAGAACAATGAGGGATTTAAAAAAAAAAAAAGAGAGAATTACAAGCACGGCAAGTAAATGTACTGGTCTATATGCCTCTTAAAAATTTTTTTAACCAAGATGATGGTAAACTGGATTAGGATTTATATAATGAAGAGTTTGGCAATCCTCTGATGGCTTCTATAGTATTCACCTCAGCGAGGCTGAAGAAATGCAAAGCTGTGTAAGCCAAGCAAATCAGAACCACAGGAGAAACCTCACTATGTTTGTTTTGTTTGTATTCACCTATGCCAGCAGACATGGCAATTTGGGCGTGGATTAGGAAACCGAGGCCTGAGTTAGTATGCTGCGAGGATCTCGGGGTTTGCTCACCTATCTATTCTAGCCAAGCCCCTGCACATACACTTCATGTCCTCACCACCTGCAGTCTTTCATCTCACACATGGCGACATGAGTCAGCTCACCACCTATCTGACGATCTTTAGCACTGACTTGAACAGGCTTCCTGGCTGGGCTGACTTTCTGCTCTGCTTTTAGAAAGCAGAGTATGAACAGGAAAAGACAAAGGTCCCTCCTTTGGGGCAACCCCAGGAAACTGAAAGTTGAAAGACAATACAGATTGCACAGCAGAAAAATTACTCTCTTGGGAGCCTGGTGCAGTTCCCATGAGGGATACACCCTACGCTGGGTGTAAACATTTTGTGCTGACATATTAACACCAACAACTGAGTTCAGAGTACTTATGGGTTAAACTCAAAAGTGACAATTTAAAACAAAAATGGAGGCACTTTCCTACTGGGCTCATAAGCCGGAAAACTAGGAGACATTACTCCAAATACCACCTCTTTGGAAAACCCCAGTAGGCACGTCCCTTCATCTCTGCCTTATTTAAAAAAACAATGGTCCAAACAAGGAAGAGCAAGTTCTGCAGGTCACTGGACTGCTCTGCTTATGTGCTGCAGTTCACAGGTACAAAGATTTTAATTTGTCCCTTCAAGTTACTGAATCTTTTTTCTTTCGGAAAGGTGACTTCAGTCTTTTCCACACACTGCTTTTGGGTTTAGATTTCTTCTCCATGGCCAGCACTGCCTCCTTTTCCTTCCTACGGATCTCCCTCACCAGGGCATGAAACACGTCATCGATGTAGTACCGATAGGCAGCTGAAGTTTCAAAAAAGGGACAACTGAATTCACGGGCCAAAGCTATGCCTTCTTCTTTGGTGACCTTGGAGAAAGAACACAACAGAAAGTTCCTTGTAAAAAAAAAAAAACAAAAACAACTGTTCCCTGCCAGTGGTATGAGCTGCTATCTTCTGAGGTTATAAGCTCCTCATTATTAAATATATCCAGGCAGAGAGTGGAAAAGCATTGGTCAAGGAGGCAATAAAGACTTCTAAACTATGCAGGAGATGGTACCCGTGACTTCTAAGTTTCCTTCCAATTCTAAAATCTATGAGGTTATGAAATAAACTAAGCACTAGTTTATGCTTAAACCAACAGATCTAAATCTAACTTTTTGAAAAAAACAATTGTATGTATCAAATTCTATAATCCTGATGATATACTTCAGGCAGATAAAGTGATTAAACCAAGAGACTCACCTTATGCTAAATCTAAAAGCTAATAGGAATCTCAGCATTCTTGTTTCTCTTCCTGCTCTTAGGGAAGCGGTTTTAAACAGTTATGAGTGTCTCCTCGACCTAAAGTCTTCCACTGTTTCTCTTAAGTCATCCTCGCCAGTGTTATCAGGAAGTGAAACCTTTGAACTAAGTTCCTCCTGTTGCGGCTCACCTGTTTTACAGGATGACCTCCAGGGACCTGCTCCTGCTTATTTAAGGTGGTCTCCATATGTCATCTGATCCTCTTTTACAAAAGAGAATCAAAGCATCATAGGATTTAAAGCTAGAAGGGACCTCAGGGTGATCTAGGCTTATTCCCTTCATTTCAGAGATGAGAAAACTCAAGTGTAGAATGGTTGGAAGACTTCCCTAAGATCACACAGGCAGTAAAGTGGCAGAAGCTGGACATAAACCCAGGTCTTCTGTGCCCTTTCCACTGTCCACGCTGTCTGCCTTACATCGTAACCTATGGTTTGTTTCTTTCACAAAAATGTTCCCCGTAATAGTTTGCATTCAACATGTTTTCATGTAATGTTGGTAGCAGGGAGATTTTCAGGCGTCTCCCACATAGAGGACACAAATACAAACATTTCAATTCAAGGTAAAAGTAGACAAAGGGACATAAGGAGAAAAGGCATCAGATAGCACCGACAGAGGCTTCCTCTCCATTATTACTTGGCGCAGCTGTCTCAGATCAGACTTGTTTCCCACTAGCACCACGGGTGTATCATCTGTCCGTCGAACTCTGTAGATCAGTTGCTTAAATTCTCGAACTTCGTGGAAACTTCGACGGTCCGTAATGGAGTAACAAATGATAAATCCTTCACCTGCCCTCATGTATTGGTCCCTCATGGCCGTGAACTCTGCCTACAAAAGAAATATTGAACATTCTGGTTTGTCAGAACTAGAGGCAGATACAGTAACTGGTTGCTTCAGAGAAAGGAAGAAGTATATTGATTACCTGCTATCCTGAGTCAGAGTGCATGAAAAGAAAAAGATAGAATTGGGGTAGTGATCTCATCTATATAAACTTTTCCCATCCCTTCACTAGAGTCAAAAAGCTTTCACTCACGGCAATAAGGGTTTTAAAAACCACGCACCTGTCCAGCTGTATCCAATATATCCAGATTCGCAGGTTCATCATCGATACGAATTCGGATTTTATATGCATCTTCTACAAAAGGGAAGACGTGTATAAAATTTAGCTAGTATTATATACCATTAGAAAAACTAAGAAAGGACATGACTGAGTAAAATTGACACATGAGATCTTATTTTAATCATTACGCCTTTTTCTATTTTGCAGACCTAGGTACAGGCTGGGTTCCCTAAGGACCTACATTTTCTTAGGGAAATGTTTTAAATACACTGCCCTCAAATGAGATTTGTCTCATTTAAGTACACTACATACTATGCTTACAATTTAAAAAAATTATAAGTCTTTATTGATGTCTTTTATTCGTTTACAAATATTTTAAAATCCAGTCTAAGAAAATTTTCATTCTTCTACCTATTATTGATATTTTATTTAATATCGAAATAATGGCAATACAAACTCTTTTAAAGACATCTAGTAAAAAGATATGTTGCAGGGGAGGGAGGGGGAGAAAATTTTAAAACTCAAAAGCTTATGGAAGTGATTGCTGAAAACTAAAGATAAATTAATTTAAAATTTTTTTTAAACGTTACAATATGTTTTGTTTTGCTGGGGCAATCCTTACTATCAAAACTGAAAGATCCACTTGGACCTTTCAAGCACCCTTTTTCTATGGCTGGTACTGACAAAGTGACTGACATTCAGGAACAAACATTCACTGACTACAGATATGTGTGTCTTTGTAACATAAGAAAAATCCTTCCCTGCCCTCAAGTCCCAGGACTTGGTCCTTCTAGGCTATAACTGTGTCTAAAAAAAGAAACAAGGAAAATAACTCAGGAATATGGCTTCCTTCTTTTTTTTTGTTAATTTTTTTAAGGCAATCGGAGTTAAGTGACTTGGCCAGGGTCACACATAGTGTCAAGTGTCTGAGGCCAGACTTAAACTCAGGTCCTCCTGACTCCAGGGCCAGTACTTTATCCACTGCGCCACCTAGCTGCCCTGGAATATGGCTTCCTCATAAGAAATTAACATATAGAATTATCAGTTTTTTCGCATGTTTCTGGAATACTCATCAACCTAGTTATAGTGGATAACTTGATATAATGGCAACAGTACCAAATGGACTTGAAGTCAGAAATCCTAGGTTCAAATCCTGGCTCTGGCATGTGTTTGACTACGGGCAAATCACTTCATTTTCTATGCCTCAGTTTCTTCTGTAAAATGAAGGAGATGGATGAGATGATATCCAAGTTCCATTCCGGCTCTAAATCTGATGAGCCTATGACTTTACGATCAAAATCAAATGGATTTCTAAAATGCCCAGAACAGCTCCACAGTAAATGTTAGTAGTTTGATACAGCATTAAAAAGCATGCCCTCTATTTCTCTAGATCCAGCCCATTAGAAAGACCATGTACAAGGTTGGTCCATTATGGCATGCCATCGGGCTCAGACTAAACTAGCAATCTTTTGTATTTACAGAGAAAATGGGGTAAGGAGCCCCAGAGGCCTGCCCCTATAGAAATTCTTCCAGGTGGGTCATCTGGCATTCAGGATATCTGCCTGATCTGCTTTGTGGAGGCTGTCCCCTGGGCATAAATGCAGCTACAGCGGTCCCTGAAAGTTTTTCTTAACATCATTAGGTAAGCTTTCTAAATCAATCCTAATTCTTTGGAACTCGGGGGTAATAGTCACATTATCTTGTGCCCTGACCAATCAACAAGCTTTTAAATGCCAGGCACTGGGCTAGGTCCAAAGAATGAATAAATATTCTCAAGGAGTTTACAGTCTACTTGATGATAATGAGTCATTTACATTTTATAGGGCTCTAAGTTTTACAAAGAACTTTCATCAGAAGAACCCAGTAAGGCAGGTGTAGATATTCCTAAAACACATCCGATACTGTCACCTTCCTGCTTTTTTGCTCCAGAGCCTCCCTATTGCTTCTAGTATAAAACACATACTGCTGGGTTTGGCATTTAAAGCCCTTCACAACTTGGCTACAACCTCCTTTTTCAGGTTTGCTGTACATTATTCCCATTCATACATTCTACATTCCAAGTAAACTGATTTTACTACTGCATTTTCCATGGTGCAGACTGGCCCCTATGCTGGCCTGTATTGTCTCACTTCTGCCTCTCAGTATCCCTAGGTTCCTTCATGGCCCAGGGCAGGTACCACCTCTTAAAAGAGCTTCTTGATTCCCGACCAGTTATTAGAAGCTGCCTCCCTTTCCCCCAATGCACAATGCTTTGCACAGATTTTATATTTACTTAACTGTGGACCTGCTATTCCCCTAACAGAAAGTAAGCTCTTTTGAGGGTAGGTTCTGTTTCATTTTGTGTCTCCATATTTTGAGCCTAGCACACTGTTTGCACTTGATAAGTGTTTTTTGAATGAATGAATCCAAGTACAATTATCTGACTTTTACATAAAATAATGAATTTTTAAAAGGTTAAATTACCCAATCAATCCACAATCTTTTTTTTTTTTTTTTTTGGTGAGGCAATTGGGGTTAAGTAACTTGCCCAGGGTCACACAGCTACTAAGAGTCAAGTGTCTGAGGTCAGATCTGAACGAAGGTCCTCCTGTCTCCAGGGCCAGAGCTCTATCTACTGTGCCACCTAGCTGCCTTCAACAATCATAAGCAATTACTATATTCCAGGTGCTACAGGTACCAATTCAAAAGGTAAACAGGTAACTAGTTACATAGTTGGGGCTGAAGCCCAGGTTCTCTGACTCCAAATCCAGTGCTTTCCATTATATCACAAAGTCATCTTTCAGAGGGATGGCAATTTTTTCTTAAAGCCCAAGCAAAGCAAACAGTAAATTTCCTCCTCTCACAAGTTTCTTGCCATCAGTAGAGTCAAGACTACTGAAAGGCACTGGATAAGTCCTTACCAAATTATCAATTCCAGGTAACAAGAAGCAAAGGAAGGGGATGATGGGGGGAAGTCCAGGCTATGTCTGGGGTAGCAAGAGTTCAATGGGTTGGCTCTACTTGCTTTTCTGCTTCCCTTTGTGGAAATTTGAACAGGCTGACTCATAGTTACATAGCACCTCTCCAATCAGGCCTTCAGAGAAGTGACAAACCAGAAAGAGCTCCAGGCAAGTGACATTTCAGCCTTTTTCCCCCTCCCCCTTTCAATTTAATATATTATCCAGCCATAAAAGCTGAAGATGATAAGTGGTGGCACTGATGCTCAACACAGGACGTCTTATAGGCACTAAGATGTGAGCAAGGACCGACAAATTACATAGGTTTTTCTGCTCAACGGTTTGATACTAAGTAAAAATATCTGCTCTCTAAAGAGGTTCATAAAGTCCCTATCTAGAGGAGCTTCTTTTGCAACCTGGTGCATTCGTCATCAGTGGTCAGTGAAGGATGTAGGATCGGCTCTGATGCTGCACATGACCTCAGGACTTAGATAACGAATCAGCTAAGGAAAAAACTTCGGGTCAAAGAGGTGAAATGATTAGCTCAAGGTTACACAGGGAGCTCAAGGATCAAAGGCATGACTTTACACCTGGGTCCTCGGATTCCAAGTTGAGTGCTGTTTCTAATATGCGGGTGTTCAGAAGTGAATGGTATGAGGCTGAAGCAAAGAAGGGGGATCTGGGAAGGGGTGAAAGAAGTCCTGGTCAGGCGGACTCGGGGACACGGGGTACATCCGAGGGGATAAAGGGGGTGTGCTGTCGGTCGCTGTGTGAATCTCCAACCCCTGTCTCTATTGCGGGGGGTTAGCCCGACTCACCGATGGTGGGATCGTGGTCCTCGGGGAATCGATGGCTGATGAACTGCATGGTCATGGCTACGAAAGAGGAAGCGTGAGTTCATGAGAACACGGGGCTCGGAGTCAGGGGTACCCTGGAAAAGCCCAAGCAGGCAAGTCGCCACCGCCACCCCCACCCCCATTTTCACGCGTAAGGAAACTGAGGCAGGCCGGCCCCGGCTTTGGGGGAGCAGGGAATGCAACCGGCCGGTGGCGGGGCCAAGCGCGCTCCCCAACTTAGCTGGTCCGGCCCGGCGGGCGCGAGGAGTCACCTACCGCTCTTGCCCACGCCCCCGGCGCCCAGCATCACCAGCTTGTACTCCCGGGACTGCGCCGCTGCCGCCGACGTCGCCGCCGCGGACCCTCCAGAGGAGCCCCCGCCGCCACCCGCGCGCGCGCCCGCGTCCATCCTGCCCCGGGCACGCGCCTGGCCCCCCCGGGGGCGCGGCGGAGGGGACACGGTCCCGCGCCGCGGCCGGTCCCCTTCCCCCAGCGTGCACGCCCCCACAGTGGCGTCGGGTCGGGGCCGGGCAGGGGCAACGCGGGGACGGAGACCCCGGGCTATCGGACAGAAGGGCCTGGGGCCCCGTGGCCGCCGCTCGTCTCGTCCCCCCGAGGTCCTCTCTGCCCTCCCGGCCCGCGTACCTCCGAACTGGAGACCTCGGCCCGACCCCGCCCGGCGGTCCGGGAACCCTGACCTGTAACCCCTCCCTCGGCTAGGGGAAAGATGGCAATGGCGCCTGCAGCCGCCACCGTCTGGACGGGAGGGGGATGGGCCCGCTGCCCCGTGACGCTTCGGCGCCGAGGCCCCGCCCCCTCCCTCCTTCCCTTCCTCCTCTGCCTCCCTTCTGGCCCCGGGCCGCGCCTCAGCTGTCCGGCTGGATCCGGCGCTCCCACGCCAGAGGGCCCCGTGGCTGGTCCCGTGTCGTAGGCAACGCAGCCTTCAGTTTCTGTATCAAAGCTGAAATTGGAGAAACATCTCAGCTCGGGCTATTTGCCGGAGTTTATGGAAGAACCCCGTCTCAGATTGGTGACACTCCCACAGCAAAAGTGGAATGAAGCAAAGGGAGCCACGCATAACGCCTCAATCCAAACCGGCCTAAAATCCCAGGGACGGGCAAAGGCGTTAGCATTTAAAAACCCGATGGAGTCCTCCCCCACAGCAGCTGCTGAGAGTTTGAATGCTAGGTCCAGTAATGGGCTGCGGGGGGAAGGGGGGGTGGGTGGGGTAGGCATCTACTAGACCTATATGTAAACTGGGCAGTGCTTTCAAACAGCAGCTGTTGTTTTGAAAACGTGTTTTTTGTGAAGATGAGGTGACCTTCCCATAAAAAGGGAAAGCAAACTCGTATTTCACTTCCCAAAATTCACGTGAATAGAATTAACTGGCTAAAGCTTGGTTGCAGCAGTCCTAAGCCTATTACCTCACTCTTCGACTTCCCGTTTTCTGCCCTACAGACCTCCAAGGGCTAGGAAGATGAAAGTCTATGCATAGCCACGGAGCAGTGTGGAGTAGCATTGCATTAAAGAGATGCCCTTACAGTCAAGACCAAGGCCTAGGTCAGGCCTTTGTCACATAGAGCCTGACCTTGAAAAAGTGAATTAACCTCTTCCTGTGCAGGCAATTCTGGGAGCCAGGTTGCTGAGAAGATGCAGAGGAAGTTCCCTACACTGACAAAATCACCAGTTTGTACATCAAAACTACACGTAGTTGCTCCATCTGGCACAAACAGCAATCTGGTACCACATGGCCTGGGAAGTGTTTAACCCATCTCCACAAGGAAGTTAGCACCAAGGGTAACGACGATACAGGGCAATTAAAGTGGCTGCTTTCTTACCTTCTGTTAACAGGGCTCCAACTCGTGGCATCTTTCGAGTTGGAGCTTCGAATCCCCTAACAATCTCTTTCTGAATCTGCTTCGAAAGCAAGCACCATTAGTAACTTTTCATACATTCAGCTTCCAAATCAGTTCTACTCCGTTTAGTCAGGCCAGCAGCAATGTGACAAGTTTTGGCAGAATCTTATGTAGCCATTTTCACATATGGGAAAACATCTTCCTTCCCTTCCCAAAATGTTTATTTTTCTTTAAACCTGACCCATAACCTGGTTAATTAAGTGCATGCATATGTATACATAGTATTAGAATAATCTGTGCAACATTGTCCTAATCAGCCTGATTTTGCAATGTCAGTCATTAATATTCTACATAAACTGGTGGTAAGGTTATTACACTTATACAATTCCCTCCTTTAACTGCTTGGCTTATTTTTGTGAAACCACAAAAATATCTGCCAGCACTTAATACCCAGACAAATGATCCACTAGCATATGACAAGTTTTCTGTACTAGCAAATGTAAAATACAATACCAAGGAAAGAGAAGCAGAATGCAGAATATTTATATTTATTTATAATGAAATTATGGTTCTAAATATTTACAACATATAGGAAAATCAGAGAAATTTATACAAAGCCAGCCTGCAAAGTGTTCAAGTGTGCAAAAATGACAGTCCCAGTCTCTCAAACACTAACTCCTGCTCTGCAGGCCAGCACTGACGTTCTCAGTGGATTCACATATCAATATTCTCAATACAAAAAAAAGTTCTTTTGGCAGGACCTTTGTAATGCCAAAAAAAAAAGGAACTAGCTGCAATTTCAGTCATTCTAAATGATTCACCAGCCTAGTCAGCAGTCAAGTCTCTCTACTACAGCTGCAACCAGTTCTGTGGAGACATACAATTTCCATGATGATAAGCTATGCAGTTGGGAAAAGAACCTGGCAGACTGACAGTAAGAGAACAACTTCAGATGCTCTGACCTGCTCATAGTCAGGGAGTTTCATCTGGACCAGCTGAAGAGAGGGAAAGTTTAGAGGGATGAAATAAAGTTGCAATGACTGTCCTAAGACATAAATATGCTGAAGGTGCTGGGTATGTAGATAATCCCAATAAAGATGAGGAAATAACTTCAACTTTCTGGTTACATCCAAGATTCTCAAATGAGAAAACAGCATTTTTCAAAACAAAAGTAATCCAACAATGGAATATGGAAAAGGGTCTCAGAAGAATTAAATATTAAAAGATACAATGCAAGTTCTCAAAATTATGTCCCTATTAATGCTAAGATTTTGGCTGCCACTGCTTTTAATCATCCATGAACTGCAGGGAAATACAAATAGTATTTGTATCATGTCAGAGCTGGGATCTTACATTTGTAAATAACATGGGGCCAGACTACAAGCAATACTTTGCTCCTTTTATCAAGCAAGCACATTTCATCTTTTCTCAAGACATCCTCTCTCCCCTGAAATAAGCCTGTGATTCTAAACATCTTTTAATGAATGGTATGCTGTTGCAGAAATAACAACATTTTTAAAAGAATGGAACTCCTCTGAAAGGGGACACGGCACCTCTAACTTCTGGAAATGTTAATGATGGCTTCCCCCAGCTCCACAGTCTGTTATGTGATACACATGCATTATTGCTAAAGAAGAGTCACTGATGATCAAAGATCTGCTCTGTTGTCTTCTATGGGGCCATCCAGAAAGGCATTTGTTGTTTAGCTCGATGCTGTGATGAAGGGTATTGATATCCCAAACTCCAGCCCTGTGGGAAAGTACTTGCATTTTTATGGCCTCCATGCTCCTCCTCTTCATCAGATGAATCCCCAGCATAAGCTACCAGCCCAAATCCCTTTTCCGTGGTTTTCATCTTCTTAGCTGGATAATCTAAAATAGAGAAAGGAAACCCCAACCCCCATCCCCACCAAGAAAAAAGATAATACCATAAAATTGTTAATAAAAAAAGATGTTAATTGTAAGTGGTTAGTTGGACACCATTTTGAGGTCACAGGGTCAATGGGTCACCCAAAACCGTTGAAGATCACACGAAAACAGCACCAGCATCAGCAAATGTGAATCCACCAGAACCATGTAAGAAAAGAGAAAGAAAAAGAAACACAAAAAAGAAAAAAAAAGGAAAGTTAGCAAGTGAGTTTGTAAGGACTGACATTTCACCTTTTAAAGAGTTAAAAGAAAGAAGTTAAGTATAAAAGAAACGTATTTGCCTCTGTTTATTTTTAATAAGGCCACAGTATGAAAAGGTACCACATCCTATGGACCTCCTAAAGTCCAGAGCAACTGTTCTGGGATGAGAGGCAAGATTCTCAGATCAAGCAATGGCTCAGTGTTAGATCTATAAGGATCTAGCATTATCTTTCCTAGTTCTGAGAAAGTTAACTCTTGGTGTCTAAAGAGCATGCAATGCTACTTTTGAATTTTGAAATTTGCTACTTAATTTAAAAATTCATTTAGTAGCCTTTTTGGTGAGTTTTAAATATGGAAGTTGATGCTATGTGCCATGTAAACTGACAATATTCTCTAGAATCTTCCTGGACATACTAGTTAAAAGATAAAAGGTTAGATTTCTACAGGCTATGTGTTTGAACATAAAGAAAAGCAGTTTATCAGGATCGCCCAAGTGAACAACAGATAAGAAAGCTAAAAGCTACTGCCCAGACTAAAGAGGCTCCCACCTACACCATACTCACCATGGCTGCCTGATAAGGCCCCAGACCCATTTCTTTCATCAGATTCAGTTTTTATTCCAGTCACTGGGAAAGCTGGTGGAGGCATCAACTGCCTGTTAAAAGACAAGAAATTTAGAACCTGCATGGCTAAGGGCAATAATTGTTCACTTAGGGCTTCATTCTAAAGCAAGTCCAATCAATCCTTGAGTATTCAGGAGGCAAGTAAAGAGAAGAAAATAAAAAGTCTACAAATAGTCCCTTAAACTCACTCTATTAGTTTCAAGCTCCTATCCACAAAATCTTTTAAAAAGAAAGAAAACCAAAAAATTCCAGAGCTATTAACAAGTAACAAATTTGGCTTAATTAAATTTCTCCTCACTCAGCTCTTATCCATTCTCAGTACATTAGCCAAAATGCAGGCAACAAGAAGTAAAAGGGGACCTGCATAACTTGACAGCAGGTAGGGGCCAAAATTTAAATAGGCTAAACTTCTTCAGCCACAGATAGGTTAGACTACAGACTGAAGATAGTTGGTTACCGAAAGTCACGTGATAAACAGGAGAGTGCGAAGCTGCAACCCTGTATTTTTCATGAGCTATGTTGTGTAGGTCTTAGTAAAAGGAAGAGGCCTAGATAACCATGCCCTCAAAAAGTTATAGTTGATTGCACCTACTTGTTTATATGGGCTCTAGAGAAGAAAATGGTTTCCATTTATTGCATCCATTATAACCAATAGAAGCTTGTTTGACTCATATTCATTTCAATCTCATAACATTAGTGTCTGTAGCAATTACTCCAACATCATCTCTTACGTCATGTTAACCGCCCACTGGACAATTCATCCAACTTACCTGTCCCTCTCTCTCTCCTTGCCTGAGGAACTTGCCGGCTTCGATCCTGCACCCTCGATCTCACTCTGACTGGAGAAGCCTGTACCTAAATTAGTCATATGAATGGGTCCATGCTATGAGCAGAAAAATACAGCGGCATTAGCAAATCTACAACTGCTGTATTAGTTTAGCTCCTTAATGTAACTGTCATGTGCCCCATCTTTCAGGTAAACTGTAACTAGTCTGAACTACACAGTTCCTTGAGATTTGACCAACTATTAGCTACCCTCAATATAGGAATTTCAACTTCTCTTCCTTCAACATAGGATGTTTTCCATTACTAAGGGATTCAAATGATGTGACTTGCTCTTTCCAAGACTGGCCACAA